TATTCTAGCTAAAGCTATTTTAACATTTAATATTAAAATGTTCGCGTGACGTCGTCTAACGCATTCACCGTGTAAAAATAAGACCTATTGTTCAGGTGTCATCCAAAATATGCGTTTTGCATTGAAACCTCCCAGTACAGCGACGTATATCCTGAGGATTCTTTACCGGTTTGTAGATTAGTTGATCATATGGACACTACAGGTTTAAGTTCCTAACAAATCACACTAACAGTATGGCGAGCTCCTAGTTTCAGTTTTGTATAATCTTCTCCAATTCCTCTTTAATATCATATCTCTTCATCTTTTCGCCGAGTATATTCAGAAAGACTTCCACTGAGACATGACTATTGATAGTACACATCCATTCCAACAGCCTTCCTGTGGGGCTTGGTCTAGGTAGTGGGTCAAAAGTGTCGTAAACACTGAAGTCTAATTTCCACTCTCTCGCTAAAGTCCTCCAGTTTTTTATGCCTCCTGTACTTTTATTCAAAAGCGAAGTCACTTTTTTCATTTCATTGCTGTCAGGTTGAATGATGTCGATTAAGGGACGAGCATCTGTATGTAGTAAAAAAGATTAGCTGTAAGAAAAAAACTTCCATAAAACAATCAGTAGCTGTAAGAAAAAAACTTCCATAAAACAATCAGTTAAGACTTCTGATTTTTCATATCGCGAGAGAATACAACCAGAGGTACACTGACCAGAATTAAGTTATGTACTTGAACGGTTTCCCTTAAAAATACTAGAATGTAAAAGACATATAGGATGTCGGACAATTGATCATTAGTTTTAGGCGCGTTTCAACTGACTACGCCGTGTTTATCATGATTAACTCGGCATTGCTGCCGACAGTGATTACCGTCATTTTCCTTGATTTTCAAGACATCCGTTACAAAATTATGCAGGTCAACCCTATCGTCAAAGCTCATAATAATCCTTCGAAACTCGGCTGCAGACTTCTTTTCTTGTGGCAACGTCCTGTAAACATACAGTAACAACTTTTCGGCTGGATTGTTTCCCCTCTTAATCAATTCAAGATCATCAATGTGGATCCCAAGTCGTTGTCCAAGGTAAAACCAATTCTTTTTTGAAATAATATCCGCGGGTACATCAAGTTTCCCAGCAATTCTATCCATCAATTCAATTTTGTTCAGCAAAACGTCTTGAATGCATTTCGATCTTTCAGCTAAAATATAAAAATCTGTGAGTTAATATTTAAAGCGATGGCAAAAGCTGTTGCATTTTTATAGCTTCTTCAAATGATTTCATAGCTTGTTCCTTTGAAGGAATGGTTCTCTAACCCCAGCAGGAACGCCTGTAGCAGGCTAATGACTCTGCATAATCTTCTATTTCTGTCCAGTGGCTTGAGTTTCCCACAAGGACTCCACCAAGTTAAAACCTTACCTTCCGGAATCTCTTTACTCAATTCACGGATAACATCAATCCTTGCATATGGGCCAGTACTAAGTATATTCATAAGATCTTGAACTGGTTTTATACATATGTCGGGTCGTCCCAGAACTTCCCAAGTTGGACTGTGGATTGTACCACTTTCACAAGCTTCTTTCACTTCTTGAGGAACTGCAGGATCTTTCAGTTGATCGGCAAGGTGTCTCCAGTTACTTAACAATCTGTACTCGTAATCAAGACCATTTTTGAGGCAGTCTTTAACTTTTGAGTTTGTTTGGATTAGATCTTTCATTAGAGCTGAAGAAAAGGAAACATTTTGAACAAGATATCCACAACTAAACCATCGACGGTTCTTTCTGATTGCTCTATATACTGTAGGTAAATAATTTGCTTTCATAGATGATTATGGTGAGCTCACAAGATGAACAGAAGATAAAATCCGTTCTGCGCGCGTCCATGTAATATTTATCGTATTCGCAAAGTGTAATGAACTCAATACACCGATTGCATATATGAAAACCGATGATAAAAATGAACTTAGAAATTGCACTAATCGCTACGCTTACTTGAAGGTTCTTGTATGGGAGGACCGGCTATAGATGCTCCTTGTGGGGTTGGCTGACTGGTACTGGATGCTCCTTCAGGGGTTGGCTGACTGGTACTGGATGCTCCTTCAGGGGTTGGCTGACTGGAACTGGATGCTCCTTCAGGGATTGGCTGACTGGTACTGGATGCTCCTTCAGGAGCTGGCTGACTGGTACTGGATGCTCCTTCAGGGGCTGGCTGTACACTATCAGGTTGATCACAAGAAGCTTTCCAAATTTCTGTTATATCTGAACCTGTTATAGTGAATTTAATGATAATAATTTAATATGCTGTAAATAAATATTCTACTACCGATATAATGATTCCATGCATGTATTTTCTGAGAGAATTGAGACAAGTTGCTGTAACGTGGAATCTGATATTATACGAACCTTGAGGCTTAAACTTGTACCACGTGATTTTGCTGTTGTTGTCTCGAGCTTTAGCACACCAACCAACTGCATATTCCTTTCCATTGCTGCACAGAAGTAGTGGGCCATCAACCAACTCGCCAAACAATTCATCTCTCAACTCAAGTCTAGAGTTGTTACTCGAAAAAGTGATTTTATTAAACTTTACTATAGTTTTCTCATACTTTATCAACTCATACTTTATCAATCCCTTATAGTTTTCTTTGCAATCAATTTGTTGCTGATCGCACTTGACGTTTTTACTGTAATCTTTTAAAAACGTAGGAAATCTGCTTGTGCATTTTAGTTTGAACTTGCCCACGTTTAAAGGCAAAAATATGTGATGTGAGCCTTTGACAACTACAATGCCTTCAGCTGCATTCTGATCTATTGTATAACATTTGTCATCGTTTGGCTTGGTAAAACGATGGACTTTTACTTCATATTTAATTAAACGATCCTTCCAATATTCAGGCAGATCAATTGAGCAAAAGTATATGAAGAATTCAGTGTTCTTGGTTTTGGTATTCAGAAAATTCTTGAAATCTTCATTGTTACGAGAACTAATAATCAAGCCATTACGTTTATACACGATAGTCTTGCTTTCATCGTGTTCATCATTAAGTGTGAGAGTGACAGTGGCTGTCCCTTCAGTACCATCAGGTGTAGGTTGTGGTGG